CGACAACAGAGTCACACATCATAGTGCTAGAACATACAAGAGTCATAAATCAAAGGTCAAAACAACCTCTTAAAACAAGAGCGAGTCAAATAAAAATATGACAGTAAACTGCACTAAATTACTGCAGTGTGAGCAAACTAACAAGTCAATCAAACATAAAATAACAACAACTGAAATAATTATATATACTAAAACAAACAAAAATACACATTCATAAAATTATCAAGAAAAAAAAAATGGCATCTGTAAGAGAAACAATCACTTAAAAAATAACATGTCCCCCTGTCCACCAGACCTTTCTGTTGCTTGGAGTTTGTCCAAAACAACAGACCCTTGGGATTTGCCACCAAAGAACAGACCCTTGGGATTTGCCACCAAAGAACAGACCCTTGGGATTTGCCACCAAAGAACACACCCTTGGGATTTGCCACCAAAGAACACACCCTTCGCAACTGTCCCCAAAGAACACACCCTTCCCAACTGTCCCCAAAGAACAGACCCTTGGCAACTGTCCCCAAAGAACACACCCTTCGCAACTGTCCCCAAAGAACACACCCTTCGCAACTGTCCCCAAAGAACACACCCTTCGCAACTGTCCCCAAAGAACACACCCTTCGCAACTGTCCCCCAAAACAGACAATATTAAGGTACTGTAGCTGTCCAAAGAAAGTCTTTCATTATCCTTATATGTACTGACCAACTCTGACTGTTTCAACTATTCAAGCCAAGACTACCCAGTTATGTGTTTGTACTCACCAACTCTGACTGTTTCAACTATTCAAGACTACCCAGTCATGTGTTTGTACTGACCAACTCTGACTGTTTCAACTATTCAAGCCAAGACTACCCAGTCATGTGTTTGTACTGACCAACTTTGACTGTTACAACTATTCAAGCCAAGACTACCCATTCATGTGTTTGTACTCACCAACTTTGACTGTTACAACTATTCAAGCCAAGACTACCCAGTCATGTGTTTGTACTCACCAACTCTTGACTGTTTCAACTATTCAAGCCAAGACTACCCAGTCATGTGTTTGTACTCACCAACTCTTGACTGTTTCAACTATTCAAGCCAAGACTACCCAGTCATGTGTTTGTACTCACCAACTTTGACTGTTACAACTATTCAAGCCAAGACTACCCAGTCATGTGTTTGTACTCACCAACTTTGACTGTTACAACTATTCAAGCCAAGACTACCCAGTCATGTGTTTGTACTCACCAACTTTGACTGTTACAACTATTCAAGCCAAGACTACCCAGTCATGTGTTTGTACTCACCAACTTTGACTGTTACAACTATTCAAGCCAAGACTACCCAGTCATGTGTTTGTACTCACCAACTCTGACTGTTTCAACTATTCAAGCCAAGACTACCAAAGATTGTGGACCCAAAACTATTCCAAGACAGACTGACCCTGCCAATAATCGACCTGGTCAACCCAAGACTACCCAATCCTCGGATGCGTGTCCAATAATCTTCAAAGACACACAGACCCTGCCAGTTATCTACCCACCAATATTTGGCACACAGGTTTCACAAACTGAAAATATGACACATTTATCCATCTAAACATTCAGCTACATAAATTGAATCAATAAATTCTCTTCGGTCGCTGACTGTCGTCTGCTAGTAAATATATAAATATAGTTATGTGTAAGTATAAATAACAAATTTGTAACAAAAATAATCAGAGCCAGTGAAACAAGAACAGGAATAACAATTGAAGAATTTTTTAAAAATCTGTGAAAGAGAGAAGGGCAACAATTCAAGAAGAATCACTCTATAAAGTGTTGAGCTCTCAGAAGCTAGAGAGCAAGTCCGTGTGTTATGTATAATATAATACAAGTGAATATAGATAGATATATATATATATATGTTCATCATGATAACAAACAATGTCATAATAACACAGCAATAACAACAATTTCATCATCAACCAGAGGCCTGAAGAGTTGCTTCCCTTGAAAACATGGCGGGCTACATACAGAAAGACAACAACATCCGGCTGCCTGTCGGGGCTAACTTCCGGTAATTTGTGAACAATTCCTGCACAATTCATTATATGTCTTGTTTTACATATAAACTCTGATGCACAGTGCTTCCGTTGCCAAATATGGGTATGGCAACAACGAGTCCATGGGTCAGTAAGTGAAGCCACAAAATGGCTATTTTGTACGCAAGGTATGGCTGTATCAATGCTCTATCTATCACAGATATGTTACATACTAGACCAGATGGCCATAGAAGGCACAACCACCTGTCTATAACTGATTGACTGATGTCGACAATCATCTCTACTGTCCCCATGTAAGATGACTTCACATGTAAACCAGTGTTTACCGCAATGATCTCCTTGCAGGGATCTCATCTCCATAGACTGGCACCTCAGCAGAACTAAGTACGACTTTGTCCAGACAGTGAGATATCTTTGTCTATGTAAAGTGCAGCTAAACAACTACTCAGGGAGATGTGGAAGGCATGGGGGAAAGCCTCATATGTCCACATAATCTCCCCAAGAACAAGTCTACGACAAACCTGCAACACTGTCTACAAATCCCTGGGCTGAAACATGACCGCCTACCTGAATACTGTCCTGACATACAATCAGCTATAACCGTCACCGGAAGTCATACCGACTGACAACTGAAATATCTGACATAAGTCCCATATGTCTTCAAGGGAAGTAATCTCGCGTCGCTTGTTCTGCCAAACATGATATCCCCAAACTGTAAACAAGAATGAACATCAACAAATATGTGCGAAAACATGCCATTATCAAATACAAGAAGTGTGGCTGGGGGGAAAAAAGTCAAGCCCCACGTGTAAGGCGGTCGTTGTCAAAACTCCAGTGATAACGTCACAAAGGCACACAACAACAAGCACGTTAACCGTTGACCATGGCACAACAGAAAACATCATCATCAACATTTCGGTGTACAAGAGCTGCAGCGTTTACGGCGACGTTAACAGTACCACAACAGGGACAACAATGTTAGCATTCAGGGCTCAGGCGCACCAGCTGACACACACACCCTAGATAGCTGGGCTCTCCCCTGACTGTGCGGTATATCACATGCCTCGTCTGCTCAGATAAGGTCATTAAACCCAGTATACTGGATAATAGGCAACAGCTCCAGGCACCGACAACTGCAGATGTGAGACGGTGATGTAGTGACTCTGATACCACAAGTCACGTGACATGCAAGATACGAGTCAACAGAAGAGTCCAGCTAGTGAAGGTAGTTTTATGTTGGGGAAACACTGGACAAGGGGAAATACTGGACAAGGGGAAATATCAGACAAGGGGAAATACTGGACAAGGGGAAATACTGGACAAGGGGAAATATCAGACAAGGGGAAATACTGGACAAGGGGAAATATCAGACAAGGGGAAATACTGGACAAGAGGAAATACTGGAGAAGGGGAAATATCAGACAAGGGGAAATAGCAGACAAGGGGAAATACTGGACAAGGGGAAATATCAGACAAGGGGAAATATCAGACAAGGGGAAATAGCAGACAAGGGGAAATACTGGACAAGGGGAAATACTGGACAAGGGGAAATAGCAGACAAGGGGAAATAGCAGACAAGGGAACAGACTAGCTGACAAGGCAGAGATTGACATAGATGTAACGTAACTTTGGTGTAGCTGTCGTGTCCCAGGGATTACATTCTGCCACTGTCCGACAAGGAAATAACATCCCTCTACAACACCGAGAGAGAGAGAGAGAGAGAGACAGAGAGAGAGAGAGAGAGAAGGTGGGGGGGGGAGAGGGCGAGAGAGAGGGAGAGAGAGAGAAAGGTGGGGGGGGGGCGACAGAAAGAGAGAGAGAGAGGTGGGGGGGGGAGGGGGCGACAGAGAGAGAGAGAGAGAGAGAGAGAGAGAGAGAGAGAGAGAGAGAGAGCAGATAAAGTGGAAACAGACAGAGATTCCATTCACCAGTCACACTATTCAAACACAAACAGATACTTGTTCAAAAAAGGCTCTGTCATGAGAAATCGGCTGTCTCCGCTAGCACCAAAACACAGGCAGGCTTGGTGATGGGCCAGTTCCTGGACTCTGGCAGAACTGGCGCCACAGCCGTCTTGGTTACTAGATCCTTCTTAAACAGGTGAACACTTGCAGACAGTCACTGTTGTAGGATCTAGCCGCTGTCTGGCAGCGGGAGACAGGGATAGTCCAACTGACGTGTCCTAGTTGCTGCTATTTGCCAGTGGAAACCCAGCCGGATGGCATCCCTGTGTCGTGGAATGAGGTCACGGATATAAACAGAAAGGCTGCCTGAGCGAGGACAATGAGCAACAGTGATTGACAGCCTGTAGGTGTGGCCGCAGCCAATCCTGTCACAAGTGGAGATTACACAACCATGCAGATTGAGGTTATTAACAAAACATTTGCACGAAAACATCGTGGACCAGGGCTGGTGCGGCTGGTCCGTGTTGCAGTGGCTATTCTACAAAAGCAAGTCTTCCTCTGTACATGTTTTACAAGTTGGCTGAGCTTTCATGTTGGCTGGACGTTTGTGCTACACCCTGGACAGTCAAACGTGGCTGCTGGACGGTGTATCGCCACTCATGAACTGGCCAGGCTCTGTCTGGTCATACAGTGCCAAGTCCTGCAGGTGACGGTTGTTGAGCTAATTATAGAGTGCTCGGCCTACCTCCTCTTCAGTCATAACTAACTTCGTCAACGTCATCGACAGATCATCTTTGGAAGAATGGATTCGAGTGTCTGCCACTATCTCCGATTAAACATATACTTGGATGCAGCAGTCTCTATGGACAGTCCTAGTTCTATCGTACACACTGTCCAGCATGCAATCTACAGATTTTGCAACGACTTACTTAGTTACGTGTAAAGGTGTCTACTGTAGCGGCAATTGGAGTACTCAGAGATTCAAGTGAGTTGGTGCACCGCTTCTCTACAGCCAACAGAAAGCGCATCAGCCAGATCGTCTCGACAGTTGCAGGCCGGGCGCCTTCATTCATTGTCAGAGGACTGGGATAGTCCGTGTCGGGGTGGAGACTAGCCCTGGGGTGCCGAGGTTGTCCACGCCTGAGCTACTAGCGGCAGCAAACGTCCCTACCAGCGGGGAGAAGGCCAGGGGGCCGTTGAAGAAGCCAGGGAACTGGAAAGCCGAGCCGGAGGAGTTTAACCGTGGGCTGAGGGTTGTCACGGGGCTTAGAGAGCTCCAGAAGTGGACGGGGTGCATGGGGCTGGGCAGGAATAGGGGGGTTGGGATGCCGTGGAAGGCCGACATAGGATGTTTTCCTGAAGGCGAGATGATTGACATGTGGGAGGTCACTGGGGTTAGAGGTGAAGCGGTCAAGGAGCCAGTCGCCAGCGAAGGCACGCCCAGAGATATAGGGCTGGGTTTGGGTTTGTTGCAGGCAGCGGCGACAGATGAGGTGCTGGGGGTCAGACGTGATGATGATGATAATGAGGTGGCTGTGCTGGCGTTGTGATTTCTGCTACAGTAAGTTGGTGGCAGCGGTGACAGCGACGGGGAGCGGCGCGCTGGAGATGCTGAAGAGGACGGGGTCGGGAGGGAGGAGGGCGTAGATGAGGGGATCTTGACCAAGTTCATGGCCGTCATAGGTGGTGAGGGGTTAATTCGCTGAGGCGAGTAGTCTCGTCTTCGATGGCTGATGACAGGGCTGGCACTGCGACCTCTGGGGGTGGAGACGCGGATCTCTGGGTTGAAGTTGCTGTAGAGTGAGCTGTGGGCTAGGCTGAGGCTGCTGCCACTGGTGCTGCCTCTGCTGGGCGTGCGAGGCGGCGCGTTGAAAGGCTCCCTGTCGCGGTACAACGCTGACCGGTGGGAATCGCCGCCCAGGTACAAGGCTGACCAGGCACTTCTGCTGATGCGGTCTCTGTCCTCGTCCTCCAGGCGATGCTGCTGTGACTGGTGTCGATGGGCGGACAGATGGGAGTGGGCGGGGTGGTGATGTGACAGATGCAGGTGGTGGGAATGATATGGAGACTGGTGATGGGCGTGGCTATGTGAAGGGGGAGGTTGTAAAAGAGAAGAGCTGGAAGAATGCGAGCTCCTGTGTGGATCCAGATTCTCTCGTATTTCTCGATCCCTCTCTTTCTCTCGCTGCATGTACAGCTGGCTGGACTGTCTCGGCAGGTCCGCTGCCCGGTGTTTGGCTAGAGCTGCCCGTGGACTGCTGTCACCACTGTCCTCCTCCTCCTCCTTGCGAGCATGAGTTGCTGCCTGTTGTTGCTGCTGATCGTGTTGTTGTTGTTTGTGCACCGAATACTTCAAGGCTGCATCTTGGCTGGCTTTAATGTCGTGAGCGTTGTAGGATGCGAAATGTGGCAACACTCGTTGACCATACTCGTGAGCTAAAGATTCCATCTTCACCTGAAGACAACAAAGGTGTGGGTTCAAACATTACAAGGACCGACAGACCGACCGCAAGACAGAGAGAGACAGACAGCAAGAAAGACAGGCAGATATAACGAACAAACAAACGAACTTTATTTTCAAAGAGTCACAAATTAGGCACGCAGGCTTGTCTTACATTCGGCCCTACCAAACTCCCATCTTTCACACAGCAGTGAAGTCAGACAGTTGTATTTCACCATTAGAGGATATTATGTTACTATAATATTATGAATATCAACAAAAGCTTGGGTGGTAAATGCGCGTGCGCGAACACACACAACCACATACACACGCAAAGCCATTCACTCACTTACACACACACATAGGCACAAAATACACCCATACATACACACACATCGACATACATACATTCGTACGTTGACAGACAGACAGACAGAGAGACAGACAGACAGACAGACAGACAGACAGACAGACAGACAGACAGACAGATAGATAGATAGATAGACAGACAGACAGACAGACAGACAGACAGACAGACAGATAGATAGATAGATAGATAGATAGATAGATAGATAGATAGATAGATAGATAGATAGATAGATAGATAGATAGATAGATAGATAGATAGATAGATAGATAGATAGATAGATCTCTCAGACCGCATGTTTTCAGTAATGCAAGTTATGTCTATATAAAAATTTGCATAATGAAAGAATGCACACACACATGATATATATATACAATCATACCCTCATAAAATACACATCTACACATACTCTTATATGCTCATGCATACACAGACATATACACACTATACACACACACACACACATAATATATATATATATATATATATATGTGTGTGTGTGTGTCTACATATTTATATGATATACACACACACTGATACACAAAATCGCGTAAAAAAATGATGAATACAAGGATACAGCAAGAAGACAATCTACTGACCTTGAAAGGCACTTTGGTCTCCGTCTTAACGATCTCCGGGAAAGAGACGAACTTGTAAACGAACTTTTGGCCCAGCGACTTCTTGATGATGTTCTTGTCGTAGTAATAGCGCAGAGCTCTGCTCAGCTTGTCGTAGTTCATGTTGTGCTTGTTCTTGCGAAGTCCCCACAGCCGCGCCACCTCCTCAGCATTGACCAGCTTGAACTCGCCCTCCTGACTCGTCCAGTGGATGATGTTTTGATGTTGGTTGCCTAGCAACAGCTCCAGAAGGAACTGCCACAGCGTTATGTTAGAATCCATGGCTGGGGAAAATATAACACTTACAGTCAAGTTAACATAACACTCACAGTCAAGTGAACATAACACTCACAGTCAAGTTAACATAACACTCTTGGTCAAGTTAACATAACACTCATGGTCACGTTAACATAACACTCATAGTCAAGTTAACATAACACTCATGGTCAAGTTAACAAAACACTCATGGTCAAGTTAAAAAAACACGCATAGTCAAGTTAACATAACACTCATGGACAAGTTAACATAACACTCATAGTCAAGTTAACATAACACCCATAGTCAAGTTTACATAACACTCATAGACAAGTTAACCTAACACTCCTAGTCAAGTTAACGTAACACTCCTAGTCAAGTTAAAGTAACACTCATAGTCAAGTGAACATAATACGCATAGTCAAGTTAACATAACACTCATAGTCAAGTTAACATAACACTCATAGTCAAGTTAACATAACACCCATAGTCAAGTTAACATAACACTCACAGTCAAGCTAACAAAACACTCACAGTCAAGCTAACAAAACACTCACAGTCAAGTTAACATAACACTCATAGTCAAGTTAACATAACACTCATAGTCAAGTTTAACTTAACAGACACATTCAAGTTAATATAACACCCAGTGTCAATTAAACATGACACCAAGAGTCAATTTAACTAACACTCACAGTCAAGTTTACAAAAAAACATTAGAGAAAGTCATATTAACATAGTGCTAGAACATATGAACGTCCGATAATAGTGAGGCAAGCAGACACAGAAAACATATTGAGGTAAGACACATGTTCAGACATACATAAAGACGACAAATGGTCAAATGAAGATACTAAACAGGGTAGAAACTAATCGAGAAACTTGCTTCAAACTCTTCTGTTGTAGTATCATGGGTAGTACTGGCAATGCAGATACTTGTGGGTGCACGGCTCAGTCACACGACTCTATCCTCAGACGTTAAGTACAACTTTCACACAGAACTCTAGTCACACCACTCCATCCTCAGACGTGAAGTACAACTTTCACACAGAACTCTAGTCACACCACTCCATCCTCAGACGTGAAGTACAACTTTCACACAGAACTCTAGTCACACCACTCCATCCTCAGACGTGAAGTACAACTTTCACACAGAACTCTAGTCACACCACTCCATCCTCAGACGTGAAGTACAACTTTCACACAGAACTCTAGTCACACCACTCCATCCTCAGACGTGAAGTACAACTTTAACACAGAACTCTAGTCACACCACTCCATCCTCAGACGTGAAGTACAACTTTTACACAGAACTCTAGTCACACCACTCCATCCTCAGACGTGAAGTACAACTTTCACACAGAACTCTAGTCACACCACTCCATCCTCAGACGTGAAGTACAACTTTCACACAGAACTCTAGTCACACCCACTCCATCCTCAGACGTGAAGTACAACTTTAACACAGAACTCTAGTCACACCACTCCATCCTCAGACGTGAAGTACAACTTTCACACAGAACTCTAGTCACACCACTCCATCCTCAGACGTGAAGTACAACTTTCACACAGAACTCTAGTCACACCACTCCATCCTCAGACGTGAAGTACAACTTTAACACAGAACTCAGTCACACCACTCCATCCTCAGACGTGAAGTACAACTTTCACACAGAACTCTAGTCACATCACTCCATCCTCAGACGTGAAGTACAACTTTCACACAGAACTCAGTCACACCACTCCATCCTCAGACGTGAAGTACAACTTTCACACAGAACTCAGTCACACCACTCCATCCTCAGACGTGAAGTACAACTTTCACACAGAACTCAGTCACACCACTCCATCCTCAGACGTTAAGTACAACTTTCACACAGAACTCTAGTCACACCACTCCATCCTCAGACGTGAAGTACAACTTTCACACAGAACTCTAGTCACACCACTCCATCCTCAGACGTGAAGTACAACTTTCACACAGAACTCTAGTCACACCACTCCATCCTCAGACGTGAAGTACAACTTTCACACAGAACTCTAGTCACACCACTCCATCCTCAGACGTGAAGTACAACTTTCACACAGAACTCTAGTCACAGCTATGGTCTAGAGCCTCACTGTAGCAGCCCACGCATCATCACAACACAGGACTCCAGTCACAACTAGAGTGTTGCAGCCCACGCATCATCACAACACAGGACTCCAGTCACAACTAGAGTGTTGCAGCCCACGCATCATCACAACACAGGACTCCAGTCACAATCAGTGTTGCAGCCCACGCATCATCACAACACAGGACTCCAGTCACAATCAGTGTTGCAGCCCACGCGTCATCACAACACAGGACTCCAGTCACAATCAGTGTTGCAGCCCACGCGTCATCACAACACAGGACTCCAGTCACAACTAGAGTGTTGCAGCCCACGCATCATCACAACACAGGACTCCAGTCACAATCAGTGTTGCAGCCCACGCATCATCACAACACAGGACTGCAGTCACAATCAGTGTTGCAGCCCACGCATCATCACAACACAGGACTGCAGTCACAATCAGTGTTGCAGCCCACGCATCATCACAACACAGGACTGCAGTCACAACTAGAGTGTTGCGGCCCACGCATCATCACAACACAGGACTCCAGTCACAACTAGAGTGTTGCGGCCCACGCATCATCACAACACAGGACTCCAGTCACAACTAGAGTGTTGCGGCCCACGCATCATCACAACACAGGACTCCAGTCACAACTAGAGTGTTGCAGCCCACGCATCATCACAACACAGGACTCCAGTCACAACTAGAGTGTTGCAGCCCACGCATCATCACAACACAGGACTGCAGTCACAATCAGTGTTGCAGCCCACGCATCATCACAACACAGGACTGCAGTCACAACTAGAGTGTTGCAGCCCACGCATCATCACAACACAGGACTGCAGTCACAATCAGTGTTGCAGCCCACGCATCATCACAACACAGGACTGCAGTCACAATCAGTGTTGCAGCCCACGCATCATCACAACACAGGATTCTAGCCACAACTAGAGTGTTGCGGCCCACGCGTCATCACAACACAGGATTCTAGCCACAACTAGAGTGTTGCGGCCCACGCGTCATCACAACACAGGATTCTAGCCACAACTAGAGTGTTGCGGCCCACGCATCATCACAACACAGGATTCTAGCCACAACTAGAGTGTTGCGGCCCACGCATCATCACAACACAGGACTGCAGTCACAACTAGAGTGTTGCAGCCCACGCATCATCACAACACAGGACTGCAGTCACAACTAGAGTGTTGCAGCCCACGCATCATCACAACACAGGACTGCAGTCACAACTAGAGTGTTGCAGCCCACGCATCATCACAACACAGGACTCCAGTCACAACTAGAGTGTTGCAGCCCACGCATCATCACAACACAGGACTGCAGTCACAACTAGAGTGTTGCAGCCCACGCGTCATCACAACACAGGACTCCAGTCACAACTAGAGTGTTGCGGCCCACGCATCATCACAACACAGGACTGCAGTCACAACTAGAGTGTTGCGGCCCACGCATCATCACAACACAGGACTGCAGTCACAACTAGAGTGTTGCGGCCCACGCGTCATCACAACACAGGACTCCAGTCACAACTAGAGTGTTGCGGCCCACGCATCATCACAACACAGGACTGCAGTCACAACTAGAGTGTTGCAGCCCACGCGTCATCACAACACAGGACTGCAGTCACAACTAGAGTGTTGCGGCCCACGCGTCATCACAACACAGGACTCCAGTCACAACTAGAGTGTTGCAGCCCACGCGTCATCACAACACAGGACTCCAGTCACAACTAGAGTGTTGCGGCCCACGCATCATCACAACACAGGACTGCAGTCACAACTAGAGTGTTGCAGCCCACGCATCATCACAACACAGGACTGCAGTCACAACTAGAGTGTTGCGGCCCACGCATCATCACAACACAGGACTGCAGTCACAACTAGAGTGTTGCGGCCCACGCATCATCACAACACATGACTGCAGTCACAACTAGAGTGTTGCGGCCCACGCATCATCACAACACAGGACTGCAGTCACAACTAGAGTGTTGCAGCCCACGCATCATCACAACACAGGACTGCAGTCACAATCAGTGTTGCAGCCCACGCATCATCACAACACAGGACTGCAGTCACAATCAGTGTTGCGGCCCACGCATCATCACAACACAGGACTGCAGTCACAACTAGAGTGTTGCGGCCCACGCATCATCACAACACAGGACTGCAGTCACAACTAGAGTGTTGCGGCCCACGCATCATCACAACACAGGACTGCAGTCACAACTAGAGTGTTGCGGCCCACGCATCATCACAACACATGACTGCAGTCACAACTAGAGTGTTGCGGCCCACGCATCATCACAACACAGGACTGCAGTCACAATCAGTGTTGCAGCCCACGCATCATCACAACACAGGACTGCAGTCACAATCAGTGTTGCAGCCCACGCATCATCACAACACAGGACTGCAGTCACAATCAGTGTTGCGGCCCACGCGTCATCACAACACAGGACTGGGTTGGGGAGAGTAGCAGCTGTAGCACAAGGAGATGGATGAGCTGAGGTCTTCAAAAACTGATAGTGTAATCCCTGTCATTATCGCTGTGTACCACCCAAACACGAAACATTCATGTTGCGTCACACAGACAGACTTAGCCTCAGATGGGTCCGGTATAGATTTGTTTGGTGTCATCAGCTGCCAACTGTACACGAGCTTTCTCGTGTTGCCGGATTAACCAGGAGCCCACATGGATGGGATTGCCATCAATTATGCAGGAAATGTTGACTAGCTTGGTCTCCAGGCCGGCTTGTACCTGCGCCATCACACCAGAATTCAGTAGCCAGACAGCGGCAAACACGAGCTCCTTTAGTGGCACATCTCTAGTCCAGTCTGTGTTGCCGTGTCTTTATCTTTGCTGATCCCAGCGCCGAAGAGCAGTCCCGTGAGGGAGTTAATTCGCTCGCA